TGTGAGACACGCTGAGGGAGGCGGAGAGGGGGTGCCCAGCAGGGAGCAAGGACCACAGAAGCAGCCACGTCAATTGCATTAGGAATTGCACTTAATGAGCGTACCAGTCAGACAGCTAAAGACACCCGTCCGGGATCCGAGGAGTATGAAAGGCCACGAACCACACTAAAAAAAAAAATCTATTTTGTGTTGTGTTTTTAGAAATATTAAAATAAATAATAAATACGAGAGAAAAAATATTATGAAAATTAGAAAGACTCTTGTTTTATTTTCCTACAATATATTTCTTGGTTTATATTATAATAATAAAAATCAATCAAATCTGATGCTTAAAAAGAAACTTTTTTAAAGTTGGAAATTAATATTGAAACTTGCTCTCTCAACTTCCAAATTGTTTGAGTTTTATAAATTAACTGGAATGTTAATACAAAATAATATAGTGAAAAAAAAACAACAGAATATTATAAATCTGTAAAATATGTATTAAAAAAACCACTGGAAATTAGAAATATTGTTTTCTATATTTTAGAAAAATGTACACTGGAATTAATAAGAGAATAACCTTGGTTATTAGAATGTTAATTTTCTAAATGCAGGTAAGTTTTTTTTATGTGTGTGGCAGCTGCCTGCTTTTGGCAAATGGCGAATGTCGAATGGCGTTGAAAATGGCGGCACCGAGTCGCAGTAATGTCGCCCACAGACTACAGATTTGAATGCGTTGCATATATCTAGTATAATATCAAGGGCATAACCATAAGCGAGCTTAGCTTGGAATTAGAGCGAACATCGCCACCCATTTTTACTTATGCGCTCGTCAATTATAGTAACACTTGCCATTCATTATCCTCTCACCCTCTGACAAAACATGTTCGTGTTCATTTCAGCACAATTTGTCCTTAATTTGCATTGATTTGCATAGGACGCGTTTAATCCGTGCGAATTAATTCAGCAATAATTTTAATTATATTCCCTGTACATCGCTTAGACTAGATTCTGCTTCGCTCTGCTCATTGAAACCAAATATTTGCACAACTTAATGCAATATTTTGTAATCAATTGCGTTTCGAATAAATTGTGCAAGCTCATGAATGAATTTAGTTTGGGCATTGTTGAGCCCAAACAAGCATATTATTTATTTATTTTTTCTCTTCTCCTTAGGCTAACAAGTAAATTCTTAATCTACTTCTGGCTGCCAGGGCTTTCGGCTCGCCTTCTTGTTGTGTTTTTGAAATATTTGTCCTTTGGCCAACTTTTGAATTGACATCATTTTTGTATTTGGAGATGAGGTGGAGTATGTCTTTATTTTTGATAATTTACTTCTGTGGGGATTTTCCACTAGATTGTCAACAACTTCGCGGCCTTGAATAAATTTGTGCAAATGTAGTAAAGTGTTTGTTTATTGGTTGGCTAATAAATATATACTCACAAGAATAAATTGTCCTGAAAATTCAGTTTAGTTAGTTAAATTTGAAAAAGATTTAAAGAAAAAACTGTTTTGCATTTCAAGATTTTAGAAATATTTTGTATTATTAAGAAAAATATTTCTGAATAATAATAAAACGCATTGCTATTTTTAAGAAATTATTTTTCGCATACTTTAAATTATTATTCAAGGCGATTTTTATTTTATGGCGATTTCTGTGGCTGCTTCTGTTTTTCTCGCTAATTTTTCTGCTAAATTCAGAACAATAAAGTGTTTAGTAGTTTAATTAAAGCTTCTCAAATAGAAGCATTAAATTTCTTTATAAATAGTTTGTTAAAAGTTATTAAAGACATTTATTTCCAATATGTTTTCCCACATATATCTCTTCCTTTCAAAAGTAACCGCAGCTACTTGATCAAATATTTTGGATGATTTGAATTATGATTTACGAACGCAATTCATGTTTATCCGTCGAGAAGACCGCAAAGTGTTTCGAGAGCGCCCTTGAGCGCCGCCAACTGAGTGAGTAAGCCAGTGATAACTAAGGGATTTTAACTAAATTGATGCAACAGCCGCCAGTAGGTCACAACCCAAATGGCCATTTGTGAGACCTTCACAAAGCGAAAAAAAAAAAGTAAAATAAAATAAAATAAATGATGGACAGCAACAACTAACTGGCAGGCTTTTTGGTGTACATGTCATGAGAGCTTCCGTTTGGCTTGACTTGGCTACAAGATACCGTTACGGTTTTTTATTGCTTCATGGTAATTTAGACACTTCCGTTAGCTCGCATACTCGTAAACACACGCCTCGGTAAACAGGACTCTTACGGCCTGCCGCCTCTGCGCCAAGTACTCGGGCTCTTTTCGACTGACTCTTCTGTTGGATCGGTCGCCAGGGTCACATTAATTTCGCGCTGCGGCAATTGGCATATAAATTTGGCACAATTGCCATTTTATACCCTGTTGCGTGGACGCTTCAGGTACTTCAATCTATGCATCGTCTGTGCCAATTATACTGAAATAGCTGCAGATTTGTTTGAAAATTGTAAGCTTTAATCAATAACCCTAAAATAATTTAATAATTTATTAATTCTGTTGTTGCTAGGGTGTTTCTTAGTCGTATACACGATTGTTATCAATTGTTTTGGTTTTAAAAACCCAGTGCAATTTGCATATAAAACATGTCGAAATATGCAAATTTGGAAAAATAAATATTTTTCTCATTTGATGAGCAAAACGACTTGTGTAAAATTTCGTGTCGCAAATTGGCATTGGCAAGAAATAAATATTGTAATCTCCAAAAGTGTAACTCAAAATATGACTAGATTTGTTTGTTAACTTCGAGCAAACAATTAAATTGTTTGTAGTTTCTGTTTATTTATATTAAACTTATCTCTTGACACATTCCATTTTCATTATGTTAGCATTTCCATTACAATTCTCAAATCGCTTTCCATTGACAGCCAGACATTTGCACAGTTCACTGACTTTCAATTGATTTTCCAGCGAACAAAGGAGCACCAAAAGTACCCAGAATCAAAAGCTGCTCTCTCTCCCTGTGTCCACACAAGCTAAAAATATACTGCTCATGACACATTTGCTCGTTTATAATGCATTTGGCGTAATTGAATCCTCATGGGCAGGGCCAACATCAGCAGACATCATTGTCCGTATCCAGAATAGTAAATAATCCTAACATTTTTACTATGCATCGTTATTTAGAGTGGAATTTTCTCTGCTTTGTTTGCAGCTGCTAAGCTGTTATGCAACTGTTTGAACATAATTTTATTCCGCATACGCACCGTTTGTTAATTACATGAAACTTACTCGCAAAACTTGAACACGAAGTTGCAAACGACGCTTTATCGCAGACATCAGATGCAAACTTGTCCTGCTGCAAAGTTTTTCGCCTGCCTCCCTGCCCCAACTGGCTGACTGGCACAAGTTTGCAACAACAGATGCACATTTTCCTTGACATTAGCCGCCTGATGAGCAGCTGTTGATACCCCGATCACCCCACTTATACTTACCGACCGACAAACTGTCAACTGTCAGAATCAGCTTCCAACGACGAGTTCATTTGTCATTCTAGCAACGTTGTAGCGCATACTAATATATATAGAGCCTAAATGAAATAAAACAACATTAAAACTAAATAACAAAGTATAAAAATTAAATGCCAAAATACTGAAATCAAAGCGTCAGCATAGTCGAAATGAAAGCATAAGTTGGCAGCATCATCATACCATATGGGGATTCAAAGCAACATCAGGTTTTGTATTTTCTGAATTGGTTCTTGTACTGTGGGATACTTTTAGACGGTGGGATCGAAAATAAAACACAAGCACGATTTTTGTTAGTTTTGTAGTTTTTTTTTTATAGAGAGGGTAGTTTTTCTCCGCTAAGGATTTTCAAAGTTTACTTTTATTTAGAGAAGTTCCTTTAATGATAATCATACTTATGGTTTTTTGTAAGCTGTTTGCCTTTCGTTTTTAAAAGTTTTTTTTTTGTTTTTTTGTTTAATAGTTGTTTTGTTTTTAACAGCTAAATACATGTTGTTATATCGTAATATTTGAGTTTTTCTATCGTTTATTTTTCTGTTATTTCTGGTAATGTTTTTGACTTTGGTGTAATTATGTTATTTGGTTTTGTTGCGTTAAAATTCACTTACTAGCTAGACTTTCATTATGTTTTTGTTTTTGTTTTTTTTATTTTTCTAAATTATAATTGTTATGTTTTCATTTGGTTTCTGGTTGAGCCTCGGATGTTGTGTGGCACCGTGTTTATGTTTTGTCTTTTGAGTTCGCATTTCGACAAGTTTAAGAATCAATCATTTTTCTAAAATTAAGTATTAATCTATATGTCCAAATATCTTAATAGTAAACGTGACTTAATAACCTAAATTGTAACAATAAGTTTTTGTATTTTTTTTATGTTGTATGGTAACTTGTACACACATTTAAGCAATACACGTAGTAATATTTCATTATATAATCGGTATGTCCATATAATATATGACTTATATTGAGTTTAAACGCTTGGAATGAACTTTAACACCAACTTACTGTCTAGAGAATTGATTTCTATATAAGTATTTAATTTTCATCGTTTTGACTATGGCGCACCAACTTTTGGCACATGCTGTACTTCTTGCCGTGTCGTTTTGCAACACTGCCAACTGTCATCACTTAGCAACTAGATTAATTGAGTTTGGTTTTAACATGCACATTTCTTCATCAATACATGAGTAGTTATGTAATGTTAATAACTGATTTTAAAATATTTGAATATATACGTTTATATATATATATAAATATATATATATATATATATTTATATTTATATATATCTATATTATATGTTATTTGTATAGATAAATATTTAATTATTAAATGTTCTTTAAATTGCAACATTTATAAATGGTTGTTGTATATTTTATTGTAAGAACTTTGGAAAAATCACTAAAATGTATGTTTAATATATTTTCGTATTTAACTTTCCATAAACTTTCCACATCTCATATGACCCTCAACATTAATTTTGTGGATTTTTTTTATTTTTATTTTGTTTGTTTGTTTGTTTGGTTTGTTTGTAGGTTGGCTAATTAGAAAACGAATTTGAATAAACACATTTGTCGATTATATATTAAGAAAGTGCGTTTACTTTGAGCAGACCATGTGCCACAACGAGAGCCTAGCCAAGGAAAAAGTATGACATCGGATTGGGTGACTTCTCAAAATTTCAACACTCTCGGTCCGATGGGGACGTATTCAATTTTCATGGCACCCTCACACCCCTCTCGCCCGGACACCTTGCCTGACTACGCAGCGTGCTTAATGCGCTCTTGAACCGTGCTCCCAGCTGGACTCATGAAAACCGTCGGGAAATAACTTTTGACCAGGCTAACTTTGTGGCATATTCGAAGTGCTTAAAGCAGAAGACGCCTACTTGCTATACATTTATAATTTAGCTTGAACTGTTTGCTTTGATTTCAACTGTTGGCCAGACACGCAAACGACCGGCATTTGGAACACGTCCGTCGTCTGGCAACGTTCCGTGTTCCACATGCCAAGTGTTTCCCTGTCTGTGAGCATCGGCAGTCCTACATTGGGGGTATGCCTGACGAGGCTCAGCTCTTTTGATTATACTATTCGATCGTTTTGCTAGCAACGTTTCGACTATTCGATTTTAATTCGTAACTTTATTTAATTGTTTGTTTTTGTTTTGTTTTGCTTTTGTTTTTTGTTTTTTTTTTACCACCAATACCTTAACTTATTTATGTATGTGTTGTACTTGTAGAACTAAAGTGCAGCTTTTTTCACGCCTTGCGCCATTCGTTTAGCTGGCTTTCGGCCGCTTTAGCTTGATTGTAGCTGGCTGCTACTTTGTGCTATTTGACGCTGAGCGCGTTCCATTCGTTCATTCGTTCTGCTGGCCAATTGTAATTCCCTAGATCTTATACTGATTAAACTGATTACTGTACTGAACCACAGTTAATCCACTTTTAAATGCTCCGTTGGTTTTTCGCATCTACATTTTGTGGGCATTCCGCTTTATGATTTTGCTCCGATTCCGTTGTTCCATTCTCTGGCGTTCCTTGCCTGGGCAGGCTGTTGCTTAATTTGTTGTAGTCGGTTTTCAGCTACTCTGCTTTTACTTTACCGTTGTTGTTGCTGCTGCTGCTGCTGCTGTTGTTGCTGTTGCTGTTGTTCTGCTGCTGCTCTTATTATTAAGTTACATTTTAACTTCTGTTTTCTTTGTTGGGGGTGTTAGTTGTTTTCCTTTTGCGCGACTTGCTTTTAATTGAAGGTACACTCTTCGTTTTCAATTTGCTACTTTTGTTGTTTTCATCTTAAATTCAAATGTGCACGGTTGTCGCTACATTTACGGGTAAATGTCTTATTTATTTTGTTGAAATGTGTTGTTTTACTTCATATTTCTTCTTGTTTTTTTTGGTAACCTCAATTCTAACGAGTGTTTTCAATGTTTGTGTCGTGTATTCTGTTGTTGTCTTTTAAGCTTTTGCTAAAATTATAACACTTATTATGTTTAATCCAAATCATAGGCATAACTTAGCATTTGATTAAACGTAAACCCATTTAAAGATCTTGTATATATTACATACACATATCGTTTGTATATATATATATATACTACTCCTTTGTTATTTTTTTCAAGCAGCTGAACAGCGCCATTTTTTTTAGCGCACGCTTATTCAAATTAGTATACTATATATAACTGTTAATATATGCATATTATAGGTAGCATTCTGCTTGGCTTCTGGAAATCAGCCTCTCAAGTTAATTTTTGCAGTTTAAGCTGACTTCGCATCGGGATTTCTGACTGCACATCTAAAATATTCGATTTGTTTTCATCGTTTTCACTAAGTGGGTTTCAACTATTTGCCATATATGTATGTAGATATAATTGTTTTGTCGTACTACATTAATCGTTATCGAGTGTTTTCCAAGTATGATTCGAGTGTATTTTTGTTTGTTGGTTGTTTTTGTTGTTGTTGTATAATAATATCTCACTAGATAATGATAAACATAGCATTAAAACTAAATAAATATTATTATCGAGTAGCTACAGCGTCTGCCTTTCTTTTAAATAGTTTGTTTGCCTAAACATATATTTATATATGTGTATATTGTATATAAAATCATATCCATATATATATATATATATATATATGCAGGTATGTCACATAATACATAAGTAAGTATATTTTGCTTTATGGAAAACCATACATAAAATTGTCTATCGGCTTGCGTTTGCCTTTGCCTCTTGTCACAAAATTAAATAAGCGCTACCCAAAATACATGGTCTCTTTTTCGCTAGGTACATAAAATATTCAAGTATAATATGGTACTAGATCGGAACAAAGTGGTTTAGGGCCACCCCTTCAGGGTCTTGTTTGTTTAGCAGCTTGTTCAAGTCAAAAACTTATCTTATAATCATAGATATTATTTGCTTGTTCTTCTTTGGCAAATTTTAAGCACTGCAATTCGATGCACAGCGCTGAGACGTTGGGAATGAAACAGCAAGATCGTTTGTTTCATGCCCACATTCCAGGCTATTGCTTTCATTGTAGTTAGCAGTTTGGGTAAGTCAAAAACTTATTACCAAATTTAACCGTTTCAATTGGCAAGCCATAGCTAACTTTAGAATCGGAACAATGGGAATGAAACAGCAAGATCGTTTGTTTCATTCCCACATTCCACGATTCGGCGATTTCTTAGGCCAGCCAAATGGAAACCGTATATAAAATGCTGCCCATAAAATAGTTGGGATTTGTTTTAGGCTTTAGGCAGATTCAAATAAAATAGTTGAAATATGCTTCTAGGGTTACCAAAATTTGTTGCAAACAGTTTAGTTTTCATTATTTTTGTCTAAAAAGTATGATGGGTGGGTTACATTTATCGCGGCTTAAGACATTTCTGGCTTTCATAATATCATTAATTACATCAATCAATGTCAGCTAGTGTGAATTGTGTCGTCTGGGATTTGATGTTGATTCGATGATGATGCTAAAATGAAAACATGAATAAGGGAAATACAATAATATAAAAAAAAAGAAAAGAAAATCAAAGAACAGAAAAAGAATCAATGGATATGCATGCTTTAACTAAAAAAGAGTTGTAACGACTACAGACGATAGCTAGAAAGAAACGTAGAGATGATCGATCGAGCTAGCTACGAGCTACGAGCTACGAGTAGATTAGCGACGAGAGCGAGCGATAACGAGAGCGATAGTTTAACAAAGAGTGAAACAGAGAAACAGAGAAACGAGACGACAGCGACAACGATGATAGCGTACGATGTACAAACGAGTATGTGCGGTGAAACGAGTACCCTTTTGAGTACCCATTGATGTTGTTGTAGTAGTTGTAGTTGTTGTTGTAGTTGTTGTTGCTGTTGTTCTGCATGTTGTTGTTAGTTGGTAAAGAAATTAGTTGCACAGAACTGTTGTGTTTTTTTTTTTAGGAGGGGGAGCATTTAAGCAGCATATTTGGATTATATTTATTTAATTTGAATTTGAATTGGAATTTGAGTTTGAGTTTGAGTTTGAATTCGAAAGAGTGGCATAGTTATTAACTTAAGCATAGTTCTCACGGCATACCAAAAACCAAGCTACACCAACTCGATGCCAATCCGCTCCAGCTCCACATCAATGCCAGCGCCTGCGTTGCATCAGGATCTGCTCGTGTACGATCTGCCAGAACTTGCCGTGCAGCCACAGGATCAGCACCACCAGCTGCATGAGCAGCGGCCACTGCTGTAGCTCGTGGCGGGTGCGGCGCCTCAATTGTTGGAGCAGCCCCTTCGGGCCGCCGAGTAGGCACTCGTGCGGTGCTGCCGGCGGTGGTGCATAGCTCAAATTGTAGTTGTAGTAATAGTAGTAGTTGCTGTTGTAGTGCTGCTGTTGTTCCTGCTGCAGCTCAACCGATCTCAGATCTAAGGAATTGGATGATACTTGGCTGCTAAATCGATTGCTCTCTAAATAGTTGTCATTACTTAGGTATTGATTTGTTGCTGTTGCTGATGTTGTTGTTGTTGTTGTGGTTGTTGTTGTGATGTTTGTCTTTATATTGTTGTTGTTGTTGTTGTTATTGTTGTTGATGCTTGGATGCTCATCATTACGGTATTTCTGTGGTTTGCGATAATATTACATGATAATACATTTGCCCTTTTCGGCCCACGGATTGTTCTTTTTATCCGGCGCATTAATCAATGGATCATTCTTCTCGTTCTCCTCAATAAAGGAGCGCATTCTGCGGAGCATACAAAATAAGAACTTCAATTAGCAATCTAAATATAAACTAGCTGAGATTTAGAATTGTTTTATATTTAAAAAGTATTTTATTATTTTTTTTTCTTAAACTAAATGTATTTAAAAAATAATAATTAGTTGGTATGTGAATAAATCAGATAAGCCATCTCGTTAACTAAAAGTATTTAAATGCCCCTTTAATTATTATGTTAATTGGTACCAGTATTTTAATATAGTTTTGATATAAACTTGATGTCCTTCCTTCTATCAACCAGATATAAATGTAGTTGTATATAATCTGTATCTTAAATAAAATAAATAATAAATATGTAACAAGAACACGGCAAGAGTTGTGGAAAATCCACTGTGTTTTGTTTAGCCATTTTTCATCCATTTGAATCGATGTCTGTGACTGTGCAGAACATTGTTTTACAAGAGTCAGAGAAAAGAGCGAGAGGAAACCACCACTTTAGCATTAGGAAACCCATAAATAGACATTGGAAAAATGGTTCAGCACCGGACCGTCATCAGAGCGAATCTAAATTTATTAACGTTCCTAAAATCTCACGTGATGTTAGTTCGCATAGTTGTATATCATGCACAACTCGGATGATCCCAGATAAGTTCTGTATTTTAAAGATCGTAAAACTTGTAAGTCCCCCATAAGCAACAAAAATGAAGTCATTTCAACAATTGCATTATGGCTGCGTAGTTAAAGCTAAGCAGATATAAAATGACACAGCAGTCGCCATCGGAAAAGGGGCAAAATCGGCTCGACTGTCCGTCGATCTGAAGTCCGACCGGCCACGCCCACACAACAATCAAGGCACACTCCAAACTAGGCGGGTCAGCAATGAAAGCATATTGCGCACAAGCGTGAGGTGGCCAAGGGGCAAGGGGCCGGGTGCCAGCCAGCCAGCCAGCCAGCAAGTTTTATGCTAATCTGCACGCAGATGGACATTAAAAATGTTCAACGCCTTACACGCGCCGAGCAAACTAAAAAAGGACACCGCTACACATCTCTCCTGCTCGCACTAGCTGTTGCTATTGTTGTTGCTGTTGCTGTTGCTGTAATACACTTATCCTTCAGAGCCATAAAACGGGCTCCTTTTCTCTCTTTGTCTCTTCACCGTCTGTCTAACTGGCCATTTGTTTTCCTTGCCTTTGCCGAGCACAAAATTTTTAGCACTTTTGCTTAGCACGTTTTCGTGTGAGTTTTTCCCTCTTTATTTTATTATATATATACCCTTGAAGAGGGTATTATAATATTTTGCTGAAGTGTGTAACGCATTAGAAAAAATCAGCACTGAACCCATTAGAGCTGCATTCTTGTTATATTCCGGAAACCTGGTTTGGATTATGACTCGTATCGGAACACAATATATGATTTGTAGTTGCAAAAGATGTCATTTCTTATATTCGAACCAAGCTCAATAGTTACGAATTCTTATTGTGTGCTCAACAGTTGAGCATAACATTATCAAGTTATTGTTTTCAATTTATGCAGAAATTTAGCAGTGAGCAAATGGAATTCGGTCTGCAATTTCTTTGAGGCCCAGATAGCTGTTCATCCTTGTATTTTTTTTATACATTTGCAAGAATTTATTTGTTTGTTGAAAGAAATGGCACAGTCGTTTGTTACAGTGCGCAGCTAAAAGTATTCGCCCAGACAGAGTGCGTGACACATGCTTTGCATTTCAATTTAGTGCGTGAGTTGTGTACTTTCTACATTTTCCCGACAACCCATTCATTCTGGTCTGAGTCAGGCGACGTATACGTTATATTTATATTTACATTTATGTGAAGGTGATTATAGAAAAACGATTTGCGCACAATGCGGCTTTTAAGAAAATAAGAACCAGATCCAAAAAAATTAGTAAGTATACAAAACTGTTTAAAAATTAATGCTTTACATATATTTAAATATTCTGAATTGACACACGTATTGCTTGGCATATGCAAAAAAAACCTTAGAATCTTGTATTGAAAGATAACCAGATATGAATAACATTAAATATAAAATTTTGTGTAATTTATTTGCTTACTTTTTGTATTATTCTCAGTTGACTATCTTTAGTTGGCAATAAAGAAATTATTTGTGTACCATTTCAATGGCTTGATATATATTTTTTAAGTCGATTCGAATTATATGTCTGAATATTTAAAACAATGATACTTGTGTGAAACATTCGAGCTATCTGCTCGAGCATGCCTTTATTTTAATGAAAGTTCTTCAACTTAAATACATATTTGTTTTTTACCTAATGCAGCCGCTTGGAAGGCGTCCGCTTTGTATCTCCTGTCTCCTGTCTCCTGCGATCCTCTGGGATCTCTAAAAATAGCCTGACCTGACTGCTTAGAGCGTCACATTTTCATACTTGAACAATAATCTTAGCCCAAATGTCTGTGCTCGGAGCGAAGTGTGGGTTGTTTATTATTTCTGGCCAGACTGAATTTAATTACTTTTAGGTTGCCTGTGGGTGTGTTTAGGTGTGCCAGGTACATAATTGTAATTGTGATTGTCTGTTTGCTTGCTTGTTTTGCTGGTTATCACCTATCTCTGTGTCGAATTCAATTGTCTCTTGGCTCTCGTTCAGATTTTGTGTAGTTGTCGTTGTCCCCAAACTAGTGGTCCTTGGCATTATGTTATATATATATATATATTTTTATTTTTTTTGGTTGTTTTTTTGTATTTACATTTACATTTTGTTGGGATTTCCTTGGCACATGTTTTCCACTCATTAGTTTTGTTTGCGTGCTGTTAAGGAACAAGATTTGTGCCTCGCCCCCAACCCAATATAATATTGTGGCACACGCCTGTTGTACGCAATTTCGTTTAGTGCAGTACGTGTGCACATGCCACATGTGGCAAACTATTGTGCCGTGTGGCAGGTGTAGGCTCTAGTCACGCCCACTCATGTGCCGCATTTATGCATAATTTAACTAACAAGACCTTGTCAACGTTGTTGTCCTTGCTGTGCGTGTGTCTCTGTGTGGGTGTCTGTGGGTGGTGTCTGTATTTTCTTGCTCATTTTCCGCATCAGCAGAGCAGAAGGCAACGTCATGAGCGATATGTAGGGGGGTGGGGGGTCAGAGATGGCGGCACTGAGTACGTTTACGTAGATACATAAAACAATGGCCAACGAGGCTAATGGGCTTATGACTCTGCGGTTTTTGGCCGTTGCTGGCGGGAAAAACTTGGAGGCAAACCCCCAAAAAAAAGTAAAAATAAGCATAACCAAATCCACGACAGAAGGAGAAAGTGAATGCGAAGGTATTTCAACCCACCCCCCTCACACAAATGAAAGGCCAAGGATTCCAGGTTTTTTTCTATTCTTCTTTTTTTTGGGTTACATTTCGGCAGTCAAGGCTATTTGGGAGCTGACTGGGTGGCCTGGCCCAAAAAGCTAGTCAACAAAGTTGTTATGATGACGTTCTTGCGGCGAATGCTGTGCGAAAAAAAAGGCAACTATAAAAAGCAAAAGTAAACTTTTATAGCCCACTGTTAGCTGAATGACATTTCATTTTGTGTGTCGCAGCACAGGCAAAAGCAGTGCTTATCATGTATTTATAATGAGCGCATTAGCAGGAATTGTCCAGAAAAGGTTTGCCAAAGCTCCTCTAAGCATCTTATTTAGGCAAAACGAACATCACAGAGAGAGAGAGAGAGAGAGGGAAGAGAGAGGAAGAGGGACAGAGATAGAGAATGAGGAGAGAGCTCATAAAGTGTTTGTCTCCTTGCGACTTACATTTAGTTTGACTTGCTCGTTGTCGTGTTGCCAGCTTTCTTCGCCGAGTCATTGTGTTTACAATTTATGGCCCACTTTCTGTATTTTTTGGCAACTCCTCAAGAGTTAGCAGCAGTTTAGGTTCAGGTATTTGAGCTGTCAATGCGACTAGAATCTGCTTAAAAGTCAAAAGAGATTTCTATTCGCCGGGTAAACTCAATGAGAGACTCCAGAAGCAAAACCAAAAGGCTGCCGCTCGATGTTGATGATGATGTCATCGGCAGATGTACGCCGACATTTGTTTCTCGAAAAGTTTACTCATAACTGTAAGACGCTTTTAATAAGCAATGGCTAAAAGTTGATGGAATACGAGAGAAACATAAAAAAAAACTTTTTAGCCCGTGCCACACAGCGCACAGCATCTGCAACAAATTGAAGCAGCCATTTATGCTCCACCCTTCTGTTGCCCCGAGCAGCAAAAAGTTGCGCTTGAATTTTTAACGTGAATGTGCATTGAAAACTAATTCAAAAGCTTTAATTAAATATTTGCACATTCTCGCTCTCTCTCTCTCTCTCTCTCTCGCTCTCTCTCTCTCTCTCTCTCGCTCTCTCTCTCTCTCTGTCTCTCTTGTTTTGCACACCTCCTTCTCCAACTGTGTTTTTTATGAGCTAATTAAAAGCACTTCCGTTGTAACGACTGCCATGCCAAGTTCTGTGTGCTCGTGTGCGTTTGTGGCAAGTGCGTCGCGCAGTTGCAAAATGGCATCAGAGTCATTTAGATGAATGTATTTCCTGCCATCTGCTAAATGGGCCCGACAACATTTCGCTTTTAGGGTTAGGCTATTAATTATAAATAACTGGCTATAAATTATGTGAAAGCAGGGCGAAGCCATTGGCCAGAAATGGGATCTGCTTGAGCTACTGAAATATTGACAGTTCACAGATGACATTTGAGCGGACCCGAAAACCGGAAAAAACTATTTCGATCGGTCAGGAAACAGCGTAAATATGACCACATTTTGTTGGTATTTGGTATGAAAACTACTTTTTGTGGGTCAAAAGAAATCCGATTAGGCCTTGAAGCTGCTGGCGACCGAATTTTTCATCTTGCGGCAGACGGACACACAGCTTTGGCCTAATAGAGAAGGCTTGTCTTTCTTTACGAGAAATATGCCTTTGCTTTTTACATTATTATTATTATTACTATTGTTCATATCCTGCACCTAAGTCAGATATATTCTGCAAGGCAGCTCTTCCATATGGAAAAGACTTG